GTTCGTGTTGTATCCTAGATGCATTACCTACATCAACGCATGATGTTTTTCCATACCTCCTCCTTTTACGGTAAAATACGGAGGAGGTATGGAAAAACATTATGCGTTGATGTAGGTAATGCATCTAGGATACAACACGAACAGCTGGGTCCGGTGACGCGTTCCAGAAGCCGGATGCAGGCTGTTAACATCTTATAAAAGCTCTTTCCAGTGACTACTTTTAAAGCCCTGATGATGTTGGGTGGGCCCAACGAAAGCTCGGCTCATTAAATTTTTTACTATTTATTACTTTCCTCTTGGTGATCGATATTTATTGGTTTTATCATAGATACATACGTATCTATACCTGCATATCATTATGAATATCACTGAGTATATACACTATGTTTCTACTCAGGTGTAAAACAAGAGGCAGGTTTTTTTTTAATGTAACACTGCTTTTTTTTTAGCCAGTCTAGCCAAAAGGCAGACTTAAAAGAATGTAGACAATGTTTGGTAAAAGTGGAAAACCTGAAAAGATTCCTGAATACGTTTTTTGAAACAGGAATCAGACATAGTTCTCTACATGTCTTTGTAGGCATCCTTTCCATTTCTGGGGAAAGTGGGAACAGGGAGCCAAAGAAAATTGTGCAAAATTATTGAACTGTGATAATTTGCAGAAGTCTCAGAACTTTGTATACATACGGTTTTGCCTTACTTTTAAACCATGGTATAATTCTTATTCAATCTTGTTCAAGATTAATGGCTAAACTTTTAATGCTGACTCAGTGAGATATGGAATCTTTTATTTCAGTCCGGCTTTGCAAGGCCTTCATTCCCAATATGGAAACATGTAGCTGACTCCTTTTCAATCACTTTCAAATCTCTGCTATGCCAGCTCCAGAGTTCTCATGTTTTGGACTCCTCTGATTTTGATTGGTGGTGTTTTCTTCCTCTTCTCATACCTGAGAAATATACTTAATGCTTATGTTATTTAGAAGAGGAAGTTCCACTTTGTTGCTGACATTATTCCCAACTTTTCTGTAAGTCTCTGCTGTTTTGTTGCATGCCTAAGTCCATAGTCCTGAAAATTATTGCATCCAGCATTTGTTGGCAAGCTTTTTTGGAATTACTGTTTGATTTATATTGTATATTTGTTTCCTGATTATGTCGAGGTTAGGCATATGAAGAAGCTCAGAAGCGTTTAAAGATGGCGGAAGAGGACAAGAAATTCATGGTAAGAGCTTGAAGCAAGGCCATCGTAGTAGAGCTTGCTTTCAGAAGTATTGTTTTGCAATGATGTTGCCAGGATAGAGCATGTTAAAATAAAATGCCCAAATAGCTAACATTCTCTACTTGTGTTTTCAAAAAATTCAGCTCTAGTGATTATTTTAATGAAATAGTGAATATTTTAAAAAAAAATGTGAAGTGTTTATTATCAGTAAAGCACACACAATCATATAAAAAGACATATGTTAGAATGTAAAATTCACCTGCTGCTGGAACCTTGACAAGTTCTCTTCTCTTGGCTGAAGATTTATCTAGGTTTCAGCAACAGATGAATTTGAATATTGATTTCCTTTATGAAATATGCTCTGTTCTTATGTTCATTCATATTCTGAATAAAAAGACTCATCGATTTTACCGATCCTTCAAAACATGAGACATTTTCATACTGACGTGAGGGATTTCTTTAAGGCAGTGGTGTCAAACTGCTGGCCGGATGCATCATAGTGAAACCGCGCCCACCCCATTGCCGGAAATGGGAAAAAAGTTGCGACATGTCACGTGACGTTGTGAGTTTGGCACCCCTGCTTTAAGGGATTGATTATCCTTAGCAAATCTTGTTTTCAATTTTAAATGCATTTGAGGCAGTTATAAATCTTAATTTTAATTTTAACTGTTTTTAATATTTATCTTTTTTTACCATTCTGTGAGCTGCCCAGAGTCACTTTATCAATGAGATAAGCAACATAATAAATGTAATAAATAATAAATAGAATACAGGTAGTCCTCAACCTATAACCATTCATTTAGTGACATTTGAAGGAACAACGGTATTAAAAAAAATTGACTTTTGACCAGTTCCCACACTTAGGACTGTTGTAGCATCTCGCAGTCACATGACCAAAATTCAGGTGCTTGGCAACTGGCATGTATTTATGATGGTTGCACTGTTCTGGGATCATGTGATCACCATTTTTGACCTACCCACCCAGCTTCTGACAAACAAAGTCAGTGGAGGAAGGCAGATTCATTTAATGACCATACGTGATTCACTTAACACCTGCAGTGATTCGCTTAACAATCATGGCCAAAAAAAATTTCATAAAATGGAGCACGACTCAATATCTGTCTTGTTTAGCACTGGAAATGTTGGGCTCAGTTGTGGTCATAAGTCGAGGACTCTCTGTAAATCTCTCAGGAAAGATGCTGTCTCTGTCATGACAAACTCCCCTTCACGAGATAATGTTTAAACAAAGGCTGGAGAATCATCTGTTGAAAATACTTTCCTCTGGATCCTTTCAATGACCAGGAGATTGTATTCACTGGCCTAAATTGTCCTTTTCAATTCAGTGATGCTGTTTAATGTCTGACCTGTGAAATAATTATAATGTAAACCTTATAATAAATGTCCTAACTTGCACACATAATGAATATACTGTAAATATCAGACATATAATATGGTAGAATAAACTACAAAAAAATCAAGCTTGCAGTTACACCTTTGAATATGTATTTACAGGCCAGTAACCGATAAGCTAATCCTAAAGAATCTAATGAAAATCGGACTTTAAAACCTCTTTTTAAAAACTAAATCATTCAGACTGCAATGAGGATAAAACTCTCTTCCTATATGTCAGATTCCAGAGCTACGCAAGAAATCCCGTCGGGAATATTTAGCCAAACGAGAAAAGGACAAGATGGAAGATTTGGAAGCAGAGATCAAGGATGAGGAGTACCTGTTCTCCGAGCAAGAACTCACCGCTCTTGAGCAACAGGAGCTGGAGTACAAATGCAAAGTGCGCGACTTGGCAAAACAGTACAAACAGGCTGGAGAGCAGGAGAAGATGGAGAAGCATAATCGGTATTACATGCCTGAGGAGAGTCGCAGCAAGGTACTGGTAGTGATATGTGCAAAGTTTGAAGGCGGGAGGGTGAGATGGCTACTTCCCTTTTATAAATGGTGGACTGAAGAAAGAACATAAAATGTTGTTTCGGGGTTACCCCAGTGGTCTCCACTTAAAAATTAGCAATAACCAGGTCTAAAAAAAGAACTCTGCCTAAGATATCCTGCAGGTAACCAGGGGTCAACCTGTGTAGGGCTAAATTGCATCCAGAAGCCTCTTGGCAACTATGGGCAGATCTGCAGCACTGCTGTAGCATATTTCCACTGCTGAACATCAGCAAGCACACAAGTTGGTTTCCCTCAAAACCAATTCAACAGACTGAATGTTTGATAAATTCTGGCTTTTGCCTTCAATAGTATCAAACAGAACAAATGGGGCACTCAAAACTCAGAACAATCCTTATCAGTCCCACTTTCTGACATATTTTGTTATCAGAAGCTGTGTCTCACAGAATCTCTTGCTACTACAGTAGTGGACAAAATTGTGGAAACCTTTTGGGAAAAGTGTTCAATAGAATTGCCACCTTTGGTTAAGTTTCCACCAATTTTTGTTCTAATTTCTTTATAACTGTAGCCTTGTTCACTTAATAATTCTATTTTGCATCGCTTTCTGGGCGACCAGTCAACTCTTTGCACCATTACTTTAATTTTATTACGTTTTACAAGCTCACTAAATGAAAGAACACAAAAAAACCCCAACCAACTTGATAGCGATCACATAACACACTGACAAATGTCCTCCTCTCAGCTTCAATACATGACATCAATAACTGAATCCTACTGTGATCTGATTGGCTCATTGCCAAAACAAGATGACACCTGATTGGCTCTCTAAACACTCATGCTCATTGGCTACAATCAGATGAAGGAAAGCTACCTGA